AAAAGAGTAATCATATAAAAATCCTTTCAATGAGATTATTCCATGTATTTCTTCATGTTGTTTCCGATATATGCCTCTTGCAATCAAGATCTTAAAGGTACCTTTATAACCCACTATTAGAACACCATGAAAAGCCTTGTAGCTTTTAATCAGATTAGGCATCTTTAGAACTGCTCAGCAACTACTGAACATGCATGTGGAGTCACGAGAAAGTAATTGCTGGCACATTGTTCTCCCTGGCGGAACAGATGGCACAGAAGTCCTGTCTTCACTGTCCTGAACTTTGCAACAACGATCCCTTGCTTTCCTTCAGTGTTGCCTAAATGCGGTTATCTTCTAAACACTACAGTTAGCTTTGTTGGTTTTGAAGCTTTCTATAAACATCACGTTGTGTGTACTTTCTCACAATTGGCTTTAGTTTTTGCTGAATATGATTTAAAAAAAATTTTTTTTTAAAGTAGGCTCCGTGCTCCCTGCTCTGAGATCAAAAGTTGCATCCTACAGACTGAGCCAGCTGGGCACCCCACTCACTATGACATTTTTGAGATAGATCTATATTGAGGCATGTAGCTGTAGTGACTTCTTTTCCCCGACTATATGGTATGCTACTATATGAGCACGTCATGATGTATTCAGTCAATTCAGTCAGTCCATAAACATTAGGTTACTTGATATATATTTCTATATATGTTGCTATCACAAACAACGTGTGTTTATTTTTATGCATGTATGTTAGACTTTCTGTAGACTGTATGCCTTGGAGTGGCATTGCTGGCAAAAGAGCACATGCCTCCTTGAATTTACTAGATCTAACTTGCTGGCTAAAGCAGCCGGCCTGGTCTACAGTCCTAATAGCAGTAGATCAGAGTACTTGTGGCTCCAGATACCCACCACCATTTTATACAGTCATTTTTAATTTTTGCCAATCTGATGGATGGAAAATAGGGTCTCGCCATCATTATGATATGCATTTCCTGGATTAGTCTGGTAGAATGTCATTTAGTAAGTCCTTCATAAAGAGAGAAAATCATTCAGCTTTCCTCTTCCGTGAACTGCCTGTTTAAATGTTCCACCGATTGTTCTGTTGCATTGTATTTTTTATTCCTCTGAATCAACAGTTCTTAATAAATTCCAGATGCATGCCTTTCATCAGGTGAAGGTGTTACAAATGTCTCCTCGCATTTGTGGCCTGTCATTTCACTTTCTTTATCTTTCCATGTAGAGGAGCTTATATTTCCAGGTAGCTGAATTACCAGTCTTTTCGTTAGGTGTTAGCACTTTTCGTATCTTGTTTAGAAAATCTATCCTTACCTTCCAGGTCTTAAAGATATTTTCCTATATTGTTTTCTAAAAGTTTTGTCTGGTATGTCCAGATGTTTAATTCATCTGGAATTGATTTTAATAGAGTGAAGTAGAGATCCAATTTTCTTTTCAAATGGAAAACCAGTTGTCCTGTCCCCATTTACTGAAGAACTTAATTCTTTATCCACTGATATGAAATACTAGCTGTCGTAAACCAAGTACCCCAGTAAGGGTGGAGATGTTTCTAGGTGCTTTCTGTTGTCTAATTCTTAGTTTGCTTTTATTCCTTTTGCCAATACAAACAGCACAACACCCGCATCTGATCAAAATGCCTTCTCAGATTTTCAAATCCTTTTGTTTTAGGCCTCTAGGGATTTTCCTCGTTATCAGCTAAACTATGCATTTTAAAGGATGTTTGTTAGAAAGTGTTTCTATGCCTGTAGTGAGGGATTTTCAGACTGTCTAGCTAACCCTAACCCAGTGATGTAAAGTGCAGTTGCTTAGTTGATTCCTAAAACCAAATGTTTGTGCTTATCTCACCTTGAGGATATGATGCAGAAAAAACACAAAGTGCTTCCATATTGGGGATTTTCTCTCAGTAAAAGACTGAGGCATTTAAAATGACATTTTAAATAACAAGCATGTTAAAGTATGTTTTGGTTAAAACCCCACGTTAAACAAAAAATTGTTTTGTGCATATCAGTGTAACTTGGTCAAAATAACAAATTTCCAAAGTAAAACAAAGCAAATGAGCTGAAAATAATCAGACCCTCATCCCTGTTACAGGAAGAATAAAGCCTGTCAAATAGATAAACAAGTCCTATCATGAAACAGCTTTGTGGGGGAGGGATGTAGGAAAAATGTGTTCATTCTGATGGACAGCTGTAGTGGCAAAGCACAGGTCAGCACTATGGACATCAATTACATGTGTCTCATGAGAGTTGAGAGATACTTAAATGAGTTAATGTTTGTAAGGAACTCAAAAGTGTCTGGTATGTAGTAAGTACTGTAAGAGTTCTTGTTAAATAAGAACAAGGGGTGGGGTGCCTAGGTGGCTCAGTTGACACTTAAGACACTTAAGTGGTGGACACTTGGTTGGTTTTGGCTCCAGTCCTGATATCAGGGTTCCTGAGTTTGAGCCCCACATCAGTGTCTGCAATGACCACGTGGAGCCTGCTTGGGACTCTCCGCCCCACCCCCCCCTTTCCTGCTTGTGTGTGCTCGCTGTCTCCCTCTCAAAATAAACAAATAAATAAAACTTAAAAATGAAAACAAGGGGTGGAATTACAACCATACCCTTTGGATAATGTGTCCCTATTAGTCCCAGATAGGAAGCGTGGAAGCCACACAGCTGAGCAGTGGTTGAGAGAAGAGTCGTTAACATTATATCTATTTATAGCCAAATCCACCTAGCGGTATATAGCTTGTCCTATCCTCAGATGAGATAGGAGAAATTGGGAGACAGGGAGGTATTACCACCTTCTTTATTTTAACACACAAAAAAAGGTTTCATTTCCCTTTTAAAAGATCTGATGTTGTGTGCTACATTTACTAGCAAAGATTTAAATAAATTACTCCAGAACCATCAGCAACATGCTTTATATTAAGTTCACAGATTATAGGGGAAATATACTTTTCGTTATTCATATAACTTGTCAGAATGGGCTCAACTGTTTGGCACTATGACCGCTTCAACACAAGGACCGTATCTCGTTCATCTCTGGTACCCAGCACAAAGGGAATGTTCAATCAGGCATGAGTAGTTGGGGAATGTAACTTCAAGTTACTCCACCTTGAGAAGGCTTTCCAGGACTATAATAATATATTCCTCTCTTCGTCAAGTCCTCTCATTTTTATTTCACCAGGGTCGGAATCCACTTTCAGGGGCACTGCCTGCAATACATTCATTGACCATGTGATGTCTTCCCATTACTGTAATGTTCAACAAGGGCCAAGAGAAATTAGGAAATTGACTTCTACACTGAGAGATTAGAGGATTCCTGTCCCCACTCTCAATTTCTGACATTTGCAGTAATCTGCAGAAGTCAGCACAGCTCAACAACCCTGTATTAAGTCTTAATGACAGAAAAATTGTGGAAACAAAGATGAAAGAGAGGTAAATCCCAACTCTGCCTCTTGTAGGACTTCTAGTTTAGAAGGGAAAACAGACACAGAGCTTCACAGCATTAATCCCAATTTGGGATTAATAACCATCTTTTCACTACACAGTAATGAGGACAAATTAGGAGTCTATTCCTTACCACTATATCCCTAGCACCTAATAGTGTCTGCCACTGAAAACACTCAATATTTGTTACATATTATCAAATATTGTATCAAGAGCATTAAGGATTCACAGTGGGCTCACAGCAGTAGAGTAGGGTAATGTGAACATCCTGCCCTTTATGTTGTATGTTGGGTGTGCATGTGTGTTGACATACCTTCAGAGGGAGCTGAGCATTGGTTTTCAAAGTTGTGGGGTTCTTTTTCCAAAATGCTAAATTTTTATTCAGCAGGTCTTCCACTTGGGAAGCATCTTTGCTTCTGGAAAGCTAAAAGGGGCCAGAAGTCACATGGAACAAGTATTTATCTTTGATTCTAAGTTTTAAAGAAGAAAGGTATAGTATGACTCAAAGCAAAGAATCATAGTACCCCAAAACAAAACAGAGGAAGGACAGAGGGGGCCACAAAATTCCATGGTTCCCATGAAACTGGAAGGGCAGTCAGAGTGACCTAAGTCAGAGTAGAGTGAGTCAGAGTGGCCTGAAGCAGAGTGGAATACAGACTGTACCTTCTGCCTTAGAAAACTCCCTGCAGTGCTTCTGTCTGAAGAAGTGAAATGGATCAGCAGCAGACCACAGGAATTTGGCCCAAGATGAATACCAGGGAATGAAAACCAGTGAGGTGGCCTTGTTAAGATCTTTATCTCTCGCACTTTTTTAAAAATCTAAGTTTTGTTTTATTTATTTTTTTATTTGAGAGGGAGAGAGTGTGTGCGCAGGGGTGGGGGATGGGCAGGAGAGACAGAGAGAGGGAGAATCCCAAGCAGGATCCATGTTCAGTGCAGAGCCTGACATGGGGCTCGATCCCATGACCCTGGGATCATGACCTGACCCAAAATCAAGAGCTGGACACTTAACCGACCAAGCCACCCAGATGCCCCAAAGTCTTTGTATCTCTTACATTTTTTTAAAAGCAGGCTCCATGCCCACAGGGCTTGAACTCAAGATCAAGACCTAAGCTGAGATCAAGAGTCAGATGTCTAAACAACTGAGCCACCCAGGTACCCCTATATCTCAGAAAAGTCTGACTCTGCTCTTTCCTTTCCCCTAGCTTCAGAGCATCACAACCACCAATGGCTTAGATTGTCTTATGGTAGCTGTTTACCCAAACAGATTCTTTTCTGTTAACATCTACTCTGAGCTTTTCATTCCTCTGCAAAAACTCAACCTCTCTCCTATCTGTTTTCAAAAAGAACATGAAAAAGAAAAAAGGGACACCTGAGTGGCTCAGTCGGTTGAGTGTCTGACACTTGATTTCCACTTAGGTCATGATCTCAGACCAAGATCTGAGCCCTGCTTTGGGCTCTGCACTGAGCATGGAGCCTGCTTGAGATTCTCTCTCTCCCTGCCCCCACCCTCTCCCCTGCTAGTGTGCTCTTTAAAATTACAGAGAGAGAGAGAGAGAGAGAGAAAGGAGAAAGCTCTAAAATACTAAGATATAGAAGCTTTTGTTTTTATGCCGATTAATATCCTCTGTCTTCAAAAATATAACCTCATTACAAGAATAAGCACATTCTTTGTGGGGGCCCTTTGTGGATAGGGATCACTTTTTATTTTTTTTATTACTCCTAATAAGCCTAGCCCAATGCCAAGCACATAGTAAGCACTCAGCTGATGGAACACATAACAAACCTAACATATGGGACACTAAGATAAAATAAAAATTGAAACTAAGAATTATATGTATTCATTTCTCTCCTTGTTTTCCTATATATAGTACCCCATTCAGATGCCCTTACAAGCTCTTACCACACTTTATTTTAACTGCCTATTTAGATTAGCCCTTAATATTCATTTCGTGAAAAAATAATGTGCTGCAACTTATAAAATGACAAAGGTAAAATAAATATGATAAAATGTTTAAAAATGAAGAAGGCTCTGACAAAATTTTGGCAATTCACCAACATAAGGATGTTTTTATCATTCATGCAGAAGCATGACTCGGTATTAGGTTTATTTTGGAATAGCTATATCTTTACCTAATGTCAATACTCAAACATCAACAGATTATTAATTTTTAAAAATTAAACTTTTTTCTTAAGTTTGCATAAATGAAGAAAAGTAACACACTGAACAAGTTATTAAGTGCAGTCTCAGGCTTATGTGGAATTATGACTTTCAACAATTACTGACACTTCTTTTCAAAGAATACCTTCATACTAAGAGAAGTCTGTCTATGTAACAGACTGAAGAGAGCCCAAATGTGGCATTCTCAAAACAGCACATAACTATTAAAGGTAATGCCGCAAACAACTTATTTCCTTTAAAACTTCACTAAGTAATTCCAAGGAGTACGACAAAACATTAAAGGCTTCTAATGTTCATCCTAAGAATTAGGTAGCCTTCTTGGACTTTTTCTTCTCTGCTTCCTCCTTTTCCTTTTCTATTTCAGTTACTTGTAATTCAATTTCTTTGGCACTAAACATCTGAAAAGAAAAAAATTTAAAAAAGCAAATTTCAATTATACCAGTAATTTCTAAATATTTCCAATATAAATTATATTTTATACATTTATATTTTCTTTTTTTAATGTTTATTTATTTGTTTTTGAGAGAGAGAGTGAGGGAGGGGCAGAGAGAAAAAGAGATCTCAAGCAGGCTTCAAACTGTCAGGGAGAGCCCACTGTAGGGCTCAAACTCACAAATCACAAGATCATGACCCGAGCCAAAATCAAAAGTTGGATGCTTAACCACCTGAGCCACCCAGGTGCCCCTATACATTTTCTCCCTTCCTTCCTTCCTCCCTCCCTCCCTTCCTTCCTTCCTTCCTTCCTTCCTCCCTCCCTCCCTCCCTCCCTTCCTTCCTTCCTTCCTTTCGTCTTTTTGAGACAGAGAGAGAGCATGTAAGTGAGGCACAGAGAGAGGGATGGAAGGGAGAGAGAGAGGAGAGGGGGCAGAGAGGGAGGAGAAAGAGAGAGGTAGAGAGGGGAGGTAAACAGGGAGAGAGGGAGAAAGGGGGGAGAGAGGGAGGGGGGAGAGAGGGAGAGAGAGAGAGAGAGAGGGAGGGAGGGAGAGAGGGAGGGGTCATCTGAAGTGGAGCCTGTGTTTTTTTGTTTTGTTTTTTTTTTGTTTGTTTGTTTTTTACCTGAAACAGAAACAGGGCTCATGGTCATCTGAAGTGGGGCTCTAGCCCACCAAAAGTGGGGCTCTGCTCACCCAAAATGGGCATTTATATTTTCTATTTAAAATTTAACTTTATATCTGCACATATGTAATGAAATACATATATAACCAACATATTTATAACAAATATTGACAAAACTTGAACTCTATGACATTTCCACTGTCATTGCATTAAAAAAGAAAGCAGGGCAGGAGCGTCTGGATAACTCAGTCAGTTAAGTGTCCGACTTCAGCTCAGGTCATGATCTCACAGTTAGTGGGTTTGATCATTGCATTGGGCTCTGTGCTGACAGCTCAGAGCCTGGAGTCTGCTTTGGATTCTGTGTCTCCTTCTCTCTCTGCCTTTCCCCTGCTCATGCTCTGTCTTACCGTGTCTCAAAAATAAATAAATATAATTTTAAAAAATTTAAAAAAAGAAAGCAGGGAAAAATGTTATATTGCATTACATATCCTATATATGAATATAACTCTGAAAACATTTTAATGCAGGCTCATTCTATTTATGAGCAAGTAACTCATTACTGAACTCCCTCCTCCTCTCCACTCTACTGTCTGATTCTCTGATAGGGTTTGCCTATTTTATCAGCCATTAGAATCGCCAAAGCAGCAGGGAAAAGATGACTTACACTGCTTTGTTTACAACTCCTTCACTACAGTGTAAAGCAAAAACACCTTTTATTATATATCAATTTTATTGTATCTAAAATTAAAGATGGGAGCAATTTGCCCAAGGTCATACTATTAAATATATCAATTTCCTGGAACTTAGGTCTATGTAACTCTAAACTTAAACCCAGGTCTATCCAATTCCAAAGCACATGCCCTATTTGTTACACAGTATATTGGGAAATGCACGTGGCAGGGCAGTGTAACTTTGCTGCCAGCACACATACCATCCTAGCACTCCTAAGTAAAAAAGATATGCCTGCTGGATGTGTCTATCCATGTGGGTATATATGTAAGTGATGAAGCTGGAGAGGGAAATCTGGCCTCAGTGCTTTTGTGTCCTTGTGGTTTTGGTGCATCTGTTCTGAGATCCCTGATGGCAGGGGTGACAACATGGCCCACTTCTCATCTACACTCCATGCTCAGCACTATGGTTATTTTTGTGGGGTCCTGCAGAGGCAGAACCTCCCCACCTTTCCCCATTTCTCTTAGTCATTGAAGCTTTGCTGCTGCCTTATCCTCACATCGCCATCTACTGGCTGACTAGTAAAAGGTGCGATTGTTGTGTCTTAACAATGACAACAACACAACTCAAAAAACCAAAACCCCACTGTTTCACCCAATGCTGACTTTAGTACTATATCCCCTTGAAATACTTCCTTTAAAGTAAAAAGTATATGTAAAATAATCCTTTGTAGTATACTTTTCATATAGTTAACTGTGCTTTAAGTGCTTTTTACACTCTCAGCTAGAGAGCTGGCAAATTGTACTGTGTTCCGTTCTATCTACGGAACAATAGTGAACGAAATTTCACATGTTCTTTGGCCAATGAGTCCTCTATCACAATACTCTGGACAATTTATTTTGTGCTTCAGCAGTTTTAACCCATAATGGTTAACAAAAGGTACACAAATAACAATGTTAGACTTGGCACAAAGAAATACGGAAAGGTTATCACACTAGGTATTAAAATTTATGTTTTACAGAGTCTAAAGACACTTGTAAGTGAAAAGTAGAGAAAACAGATAAAAACCAGTATACAATCAAGAGGAGCGGAGGGTTTTTGACATAATGAAGGATAATATTATGTTAGAAGCCTGGAGGGCCAATAATTATACTAATGGTAGCTGAATGACATTGGCTGGAAGCATATCTTGATTTTCAGAAGATATAAAAGGACAGGAAGAATCACTGCTTTCTACAGAATACCTTGTTTTATTGTGCATTGCAAATACTGCATTTTTAATAAGTTGTTGGGATTTTCTTTCTTTCTTTTTTTTTTAAGTAAGCTCTACACCCAATATAGGGCTTGAATTCACAACCCTGAGATCAAGAGTCACATGCTCTACCAACTGAGCCAGCCAGGCACCCCTGCATTTTCTGTGAAGGTATGTGGCAGCCCTCCATCAAGCAAGCTTAGTGGCACCACTTTCCTAACAGCATTTGCTCACTTTGTGTCTGTGTCACATTTTGGTAATTTTCATGTTTCAAATTTTTTGAAATTATATTTGTTATGGTGATCTGCAATCAGAAAATATAACTCACTGACAGCCAAATATTTGCTAGATGACAGCAGTGAGTCCAATGCGGGGCTTGAATTCATTAACTGTGAGATCATGACCTAGCCGAAGTCCAATGCTCAACCAACAGAGCCACCCAGGCACCACAGCATTGTGTTTTTAAATTAGGTACATTGCTTTGTTTTAGACAAAATGCACATTTAAGAGACTATGGTATAGTGTAAACATAACTTTTACATGCATTGGGAAACCAAAAAATTCATTTGACTTGTTTTGTTGCAATATTGGCTTTTTAAAAAAAATTTTTTTTTGGAGAGAGTGTGCATGTACAAGAGTAGGGGAGGGTTGAGGGAGAGAATCTTTTTTTTTTTCTTCTTAAATAGTTTATTGTCAAGTTGGTGAGGGAGAGAATCTTTGAAGCAGACTCCATGCCCATGGTGTGGAGCCTGATGCGAGGCTCAATCCCATGACTATGAGATCATGACCTGAGCTAAAATCAACAGTCGGATACTCAACCAACTGAGCCAACCAGGTGCTCATGCAATATTGGCTTTATAGCAGTGTTTGGAACTGCATTCTTAGCATCTCCAAGGTAGGCTTGTTTATGGTGCTGGGGATAAGTATCCATAGGCAATAATCTATACTAACCCCATATATGAGTGGCTCAGTAGGGGTTCCTACTTAGAAGAATATATACTAAACGGGGTAAGCCTACATACAGATCTCAACACCTCTAAGTCTTCACAAAGGACCAGGGATAGGTAAGTGCTCGCAATAAGCACATCTGAATTGGTGAACATAAGCCTACAGAAACAAAACAGAAGTCATCATGGTGTCAGTGGATGTTAATGGATGTTTTAGGCTTTCAATGAAGATTCACAGGTGTCAACATTTTGACAGGATTCAACTGCTGTCAAGTTACTTTATACTACATATGTTTTTTCCTCTTTGGTTAACGACTTACCTTCAAAGGCTGGTTTCTTCTTATTATAGCAAGCTCAATGTTTTTTCCACCAGACTGGACAACCTAATGTAGAACAAACACAATATTAGAATTACTTTTGTTTTTTGAAGCAAACAGATACAAAAAAACCCATATTTTCTTAAATATGATTTATAGATCACTTACTTCTAGCAAAGCTTTTATTGCTAATTTGATAGCTTCATTGGCATTTGCTATAGCATCTTCTGTATAATTCTTTTCTAGAAATTCCCGGACAGTTTTAGCACTTCGGCCTATTGCATTTGCCTTGAAAAATAAGATAATTATTAATATCATTGCAGTATGAATGAATTTATGGTTACTCAGTGAAGTTTAGAGTTTATTATCACATTTGTTAGTATAATTATTAAATGAAAACTGTAGTTTTGAAAAATTAGCTAACATTTCAGCAGCTCATTTTGTTACTACATGAATAATCTGTAATGGTGGCATGACTTATCTTCAAACATACCAATGTCTTGTCCTGGTCAATGCTTTCTACTACTTTAATGGCTCCCAACTCCTTGGTAAGCAGAAAAGACTGAAAGAGTTGAAATTCCAAGAGAGGTAGAGAGGAAAGGAGGTATAACTTTGTAATACAGTACAAAAGGAAGAAAGAAGGGGAAAAGGACATTGGCATGAAAAAGAGACTATTTACATGAACAGAGCTATGCATACCATTTTCTTATAACTTACAGAGGTCACCTAATTACTAACTCATTATCTTTGATTCTATAAATGAGAAAAGAGTATCCTGTTCCATTCCCCAGTTTTCTTTCTCTTTAGAAATTTTCATCAGATGAAGGAAACAGGCAAATGATTGCCCTGGCTGCATGACCACAGGTAGTATATGGCATGTTCTTTTAATTTAGTATAAATATTTAGACGAGTATTAGTGATGATAATGAGGATGATAATAGTAATTCATATTAACAGAGCATTTATGTGCCAGGCACTGTGCTAAGCATTTTACATGATTATCTTATTCAACCATCACACAAACAATTAGTTACTATTACTAACTCCAATTCATGAATGAAGAAATGGGTGGTTGGAAAGGTTAAAACGAGCTTTCTCAGACTCAGCACTATTAACATTTTGAGCTGGATAATTCTTTGCTGTGGAGCGCTGCCCGGTGCATTGTAGGATGTGTAGCGGTCTCCATCACTAGATGCCAGTAGTATCCCCCACCCCAGTTGTGACAACCAAACATGTCTCTAGGTATTGTCAAATGTCTCTTAGTGGGTACAAAATGCCTCTAATTTGTGAACCAGTGGTTAAGAAATCTTGCCCAAGATCATGGAAGGTGGGGTAAGTAGAAGAGCTGAACTTTGAAGCCAAGTAGTTTGAATTGACATTCCAAGCTTTGAACTTTATACACCATGCTGCCACATGACCCTTTGCTTTGATGACTTTAGAGAGTGAGAAGAACCGGCAGAAAGGCCCTTCCTTTCACTGAAGGATTCTGGCAGTGCATGAGGGAAAGTCTTAGTTCTAAGTGGTTGTGGTTAGTTTTGATTAGAAGAAAGAGATCTCAAAAGAGATTTTAGGAAGTGAGCATGAAAGCATACCTTTTGTACTGCCTGACAGTATATTGTTCTGGTTAGCAGAATTTTTTTCACAGGAAATTTTTCTATGCCTTTATATTTCAGAGGATTAAAATAAATAGCTGTGAAATTTTAAATTGAATCTTGTGGCCTTGAAATTTCACTAAGATCAAAGGTAAAGACTTCAGATTGGTATAACTGTGGAGTATTATTAGCTACTATTTTTCACGGGGTAACTAGCTGTTGTCCTGAGAGGAAGAGTATAAGGTAGTAGTTTATCCAAAAATCTCACTGAGCCCTTAAAGATCCCCTTATAAATTCTTGGTGACTTTCCTGTCCAATTCTTCTAATTGCTCATATAAAAATTCTTTAATTCTTATTTACTTGACTGGTTTCCTAAAATCTTTTTGCCACATTCAAATCCCCACCCTTCCTCCAAACCCATCACCCACCCCTCCAGCCCACTTCAGAAGACTCTGATAGTCTTGCACTGTTTTTTCCTGCCTTCCTATAATGATTAATGATAATTTTCTAGAGCAAAAATTATCAGCAGCCAACCCCAATATCCATTCTTCCTTTGTGACAGAACTCTAGGCAATGTGCCTGCTGAAAAGTATGACTTCCTAGCCCCAGCTACCAGTAGGAATATGTAAGTGGAAATAAATGGGTGGAATTTCTAGAAACCTTTGGTGTCTGGAATGCAGACAGGCTGTCTAGAGATCTAGCAGCCACGTTGAGAGCATGGGCAAAGACGAAGATCATAAAAGAGACAACGCCAGTGACCATCTATCCTCAAACTTCTAATTATATGAGAAAAATAAATCCTTATGCATTAAGAATCATCACATCACTGTTGTTAAGAGCCAAAACAATACCCTGTAGGTATATCTTTGTATATCTTAAAGATCTACAGAATAAAAACTAGTAAACAAGGTCATTTTGAAAGGTATACTTTACTTACTATTAGAATTTCTTAGCTGATGAGTAAATAGTGTTATCCTTTGTGTGGTCTCATACAGAAAGTATGAAGGCTTGATGATTGTTGACCTTTCCTCCCTCTCTTTTAAATCCACTCTGATCAGTCTCTCATCAGCATGACACCAATGACCTGCCCATGGCCAAACCCAATCGTTTCACTTTTTATCTGACTCATCAGTGGCACTGGCTCAGCTGATCAACTCTTCTGGGAATAGTGTTTTCACTTGTGATCCAGGATGACACTCTATGGGTTCTCTTCCTTCACAGACTATGCTGGATCCTTCCCCATCTTCCACTGGTCCAGTGCCCCCAATCTAGATTATTATTGGACACAGCCTTCTAACTTGTTTGCTTGCTTCTACCTTACCATACAATCTATTCTCAATACAGCAGCCACACAGATACTTTAAAGATATAAAAGTCGGATCATGTAACTCTATTATGCAAAAAAATCAAACGGCTTTCTATATCACTCTATTTACTATGCAAGTCCTATCATGGCCTTTAGATCCTGTAAGATCTAGTTCCCTCCTGCTTCTTACTTCATCCCTCATCACCACCTTTCCAGACTCACCACAGCACAGTCATATGCTCTGCATAGAGCTTGATATCTCACAGATACGGAACATACTGCTGCCCTATTGGTTCCTGTATGGAATACCACAGAAAGAACTACCTAGCTTGCTCCTTTACTTTCTTCAGGCCTCTGTTCACATCTCACCTTTTCAAAGGTGCTTTCCCTGACTACCTTACCTACCAATCACATTCTATCCTCCCAGCCTGTTCTCTTTTTCCCCCAAAGGGTTTATATTTCATATATACCATCTGGACATATTTTTGTCACCTCTGTATTCCCAGAACCTAGAACAATATTTGATATGTAATTCAAATATTTATAGATGGACTTTTTTGAAGCTTTTTTTTTTTTTTTTTGAGAGAGACAGTCTGTGTGTGAGTGTGCACCTGTGAGTGACAGAGGGGCAGAGAGAGAGAGAGGGAGCCAGAGAGTCCTAAGCAGGTTAAGCACTGTCAACGTAGAGCCCAGAGTGGGGCTTGATTTCACGAACTGTGTGATCATAACCTGAGCCCAAACCAGGAGTCAGAAACTCAACTGACTGAGCCCCCCAGGTGCCCCTAGATTGAATATTTGTTAAATGATGGACTGTTTATATATTTTACTTTGTAACTTTTGATAGTGAATTATCTTTGGGAATCCTCCTGTATATTACCCCTGGCACAGAGATATCATCAACTCACAGAATTACCGCTCTGGTACACAGTTTCTTCTTTATTTCTGGCCCCTTAGGATTTTGTCTGTTTTGTAAGTTTAGCTATGCATTAAAAACGTGTTAATGATCATTCTAGCATTCTGTATGGTTATAGAAGGAGGATTTTGATTAATATAATTTAATGTAATGTGCCAAACCCTAGAACCCATTGCTTCAAGTAAAAGAAATATTTTCTGCAATATGAAAATATAAAGAAGAAGAAAAATATTTTAAAAAGGGTGCCTCTACTGATCTGGAAACTGCCAGAACTACATGGCTACCTGATTTCTTAAGACTTTTCTGTCCCAGAATGGGCAGCTATATGCCTTTAGTAGAAGAGAAACTTACTCTGGATAGTTTTCTTTCCCTGTACCAAATGCCTCACCTTCTGTGAACTTGCTGAATGTTTTCTTCACCGTGATGGTATCCTACAAAACACTGCTGATGACCAAGGAGGGACCAAGAGAATATCCTTGTGCCCATGAGATTCACTGGTCTTATGTTCTCTAATCCTACAGAAGCCAGCCTGATGAAAAATAGGGAATAGCCAACAGAAGACTCGGTTACACCACTGGGAGGGGCAGGGACAGCATTTTCTGGAGCCAGGTTTCTGTTTGACAAGATCCTGTGTGCCTGGAAACAGGAAGCAGTAACTAATTTCTCTCAGAGTCACAAATCTAGGAGTCAAGGGATAGGTGTCTCAGTAAACCCCTGATGGCCCACTAATAAAATTTTTGCTTCTTAGGTTGTATTAGTTTAAAAGTCCTAGTTCCCAAGTTGGCATCATGGTACAGAGGGAGAAGAGGCAATATTCTACTAGGGGACATAACAAAAATTTCGCTGAATTAGAAGCTGGGACTGCCACTTGGCAAGTTTGGACTCCTCATGCCTTTGAACCAATAGGCAAATACTGGGTTACAATGAGGATGGTATGATTTATTCTGGTTATCAAGGGAAATAAAGTTACTATTATACAGTGGGGCCAGGGAGATGTCTAGTACTCAAGGGATTTTCTGGAGATCTTTCTTATTATTCCCATGTAAAGTGAAAAAAGTTAATGGAAGGCTCTATAATACATTGAGGCAGGGTCACTAATGGACCTACATCCTGGCACAGTGGAAGTGTTGTCTCCACATGGTACCACAGCTGTGTCCTCAACAGCCCACGGTGTCACCTTTTTAGGCTCCTTGGTATAGCAGGTCAGAGTGAAAAACAGTCCACACAAATGGAAAAAAGAAAACAAAAACAAAACCTCACGTGATCCTGTGGTTGTTCCCCCAAACAGAAATAAAACTGGAAGATTTTATTCTGCCTTTTCAGACTAGATATCAGAATTTATGTGACACTCACATAAACAGTGACTTGGCCTAAGCATGATGTGATGGAAGGAACACTGTACTAATAAGGCAGAAGACCCTGAGTTCTAATGACACTTTTGTTATTAACTAGTAGGGTGACCTTATAAAAAAATCACTCAATTCCTGACTCTCACTTACCAAATACATAAAATAAAAATGTTTTCAAACATTTTTTTGTTAAAATTTTTTAAAGTTGTGTTTGATTTCAACCAAAATCTTACACGAAGTTTAATATGTGAGATCAGGAGGGGCGCCTGGGTGGCTCAGTCGGCTAAGTGTCTGGCTTCAGCTCAGGTCATGATCTCGCAGTTTGTGGGTTCAAGCCCCGCATCAGGCTCTGTGCTGACAGCCAGCTCAGAGCCTGGAGCCTGTTTCGGATTCTGTGTCTCCCCCTCTCTCTGACCCTCCCCTGCTCACACTATCTCTCTCTCTTTCTCTCTCAGAAATAAAGAAAACATTTAAAAAAAATATGAGATCAGTAAAATGGTAATGGGGTGTACATGTGTGCAGGTGTATGCACACACTGTTCACACCCTCCGCCTCTACTACATGGCGTTCAGACAACACAGCAAAGCAGAGTTTCAGGCCTGAATGATAAATGAAATCCCCAAAATTAAAAAAAATTCCATAATTTTCCTAACTAGTTGACTTTGAAATAAAATTGCTTCTCTGTATGACCCTAGGGAGCACACAAATTAAAAGGAAAATTATGTAAACTTGGAAATTACTATGTTATATTGAAATGAAATGTAATGATGTAATAATTAATACAAACAGAAGATGGCAGACTTCAAAATATTTCGAGAAAGGTTGAGTGTAAGAACTTGTTGAAAGTATAGATTTGTTAAATTATGAAAGAAAAAAAAAAGTATAGATTTGGGAAGCCTAAGAAATCTAGTCCACGTAAAAGATTTCTTAAATTGGCAGAAAAGGTCCGGTATTTGAGGCAGGTAATTTCAGTTTCTGATTACCAATTAGTTTGTCCAGGTAACTTAAAAGAAGATGTGTAGCTAACACAAGTATTCAGATCTTTATAGCAAGAATATAATCCATTATTTCACTGGCCTGGTTAATCGGTTTATAAAACAGTATGAATGTGGTCAGCCCAAATCAACTCCTTTAGTTAATACAGACATAAAGACCAAGGTAGTAGTAGTTCCCCATTAATCTGTCTTTCATTTTTTAATTTAATTTTAATTTTCTTTATTTTTTTAGAGAGAGAGTGCACAAGTGAGCAAGGGGCAGAGAAAGAGAGAGAGAGAATCTGAGAAGAGGGGGGAGAGAGAGAGAGAAAGAGAGAGAAGTGAGGCTCACCCAAAATGGGGCTCATGTTTACCCAAAGTGTAAACATGAGCTCACCTGATGTGGGACTTGAATTCATGAACTGTGAGATCATGACCTGAGCCGAAATCAGATGCTTAACGACTGAGACACCCAGGTGCCCTATTTGGCTTTTAATAACAGTAAAATAAACTCTTCATGACATTTTTTTAAAGTTTATTTATTTATTTTGAGAGAGAAAGAGAGCATGTGTGAGCAGAGGATGGTTAGAGAGGGAGAAAAAGAATCCCAAGCCGGCTCCACGCTGTCAGTGCAGAGCCCGATGTGGGAATTAATCTCAGGAGCTATGAGATCATGACCTGAGCCAAAATCAAGAGTCAGATGCTTAACCGAGCCAGCCACCCAGGCATCCTCATGAAATTATTTAAAGCTTGGTTGTTTAAACTTGAATAATGTAAAAATTTATTTAGATTTTATGGGGTACTTCTATATTTATATATGAGAATATACAAAAACTTATTTCTGGAAACTGTCAATAGTTTCCTAGGCCCTAGGACTTTTGTATTACATTTGAATGTACCATTAAGCAAAGTTAGTATTTAGGTACTGAAACAAGAATGACAACTTATCCAGAAAACAAACCATATTCCAAGAATTATGTGGAGACAATTGTAACATACTGCCATATACATGGCGATATTCATAGTTTGGGGTACTCTAACTCTCCTAGAATAGTTTGGGGTACTCTAACTCTCCTAGAATAGAGGACACGTTAAATATGTCACTGTGGGATTTAAATGCTCATTCAATTCTGTATTAAAAGCAGAAAGAATATTTCTACTCAAAGCAAGCATCTGTACGATACAGTACTTATTTGGAAGAATGAATGATGAATAGGAATTGGATATATCTCTTATTTGGTCATTTATATACACTTAGGTTTGTCACATCTTTTCCAAAGGAAAAGACCTTGTGATTAATAAACCAAAGTGTTTCTCTATCCATCAAAAATTATCGTAGTTGCTGACTAGCTAAATGGTTACATAAAGTTTGTACCATCATCAATATTTTAATGCAACATAGTTTTTGTTAAGTCCTTGAAAACGATAAAACATTTACTGTGACTACATTTACTTAACTTCTAAAATATATTAACAAATTCATGACTTACCTTCCAAGCATGGTAAGTACCAGAGGGATCAGTCTGATACAATCTTGGGATACCACCATCATCAAAACCTACAATTAAGGCAGAAATACCAAAAGGTCTTCGTCCATTGCTTTGTGTGTATTTCTGAAAAATAAAATGTTTTTATAACTACCTTTTCATATGAGGCCATACAAAGAACAGCACTATTACTTACCAACTAAGAAATTCTAATAGTATATAAAGTATTCTTGCCAAAATTATAATCTTTGTTGATTCTTATACTGTATTTCTTTAAGATCCTCTCTCTGATTTTTTCTGGACTAACTTCAATCATGATGAAATTTTAATGAAATTAATGCATACACTGTGTAAAATTAAATAATAAGAGTGCTTACAGATGGTCTTAAAACTGTTTTCTCATTGTTTTACATGCTTTTACATAACTAGACTATAATCTTGTTAATATAGCAGAGAACTATATATGCCACACCATTTTGGTTCCCACCTAGTAAAGCTGATTTTAGTGAGCTGTGCTTTGGAAGGAAGTCCTTGGGCTTACTCTGAGAGATACTACAATTGTTACCATTATAATCAATATTTTTACTTGATACTATTATCAAGTATATTCTGTTCACTCTATACTAAGTTATTGCTACATTAAACCCAACTAAGAGATTTCTTTCAGTTCACAAACAAGGAAACCTTTGTCTCTCTGGACCACAAAGCATGTTTTTTTCCTTCCAGACAATAGTGCACTGGAAACCAATTGTATTTCTTTTTACTTTAGTGCCAGGAACTTCCTGGGAGTGGAATTCCCACTAACTCTGAGACTGGTGCTCCTAGAAGTTGTACACAGGGCAGCCCTGAAAGAAAGCTCAAGCCCATACCTTTTTTGTCATTTTTATATTTTATTATTATGTATTTTTATTAGCTACTTCAAATTTTGAATGCAAATAGTTGTGCTACAAATATAAATAAACTCTTAAAGAGCAGGGTTTATATCTTTATTCTCCTGTATTTCTTAATATTCCTAGTTCACACAGAGGTATGAAGCAGATGTTTTGTAAATATACCTCAGAGGAGAGACCCTTTTATTTGCTTAATCAACCATGTTTTTTTCTCTTTAATGAATAAGTAGTACTTGCACAGAGTTAAAATAATTTAAAAGTCCAAAAGAATAAATAAAAGATCTCTTTTGTCTCAGAGCCCCAAGCCTCTTCCCAGTAGCAACCCCACTATTACAGGTTTACAATGTATATTAAATGTTCTATGTATAGCCTTTATATTTCTAGAAGAAAAACTAAAACCACAATTGGGAACCTGGTATGTACAATGCTCTACATCTTGTTTTTGGTGGATACTATTTTAACTACTGAGAAAATCAAAGCAAATAAAGTAGAAAAGTATGAAAATGTTGGACTTAATTGAAACATGAATTAAAGTAAAAAAACAAAATAGAGTTAATTTTTTATAAGTATATAGCCTAAAAGTTTAGTATCAAGAATATATAGCATATAAAAAATCTCTACATGGACAATGGCAAAATCAATGCCAGAAAGTATTCTAAATGTTTTAAACGTATTAAATCATTTAATTCATAATGGAGCTCAATAAGTAGGTATTATTGTAATGTTTATTCCATAAATAAGAAAATTAAGAAAAAACAGGCTAAATAGTGTGCTCATGGCATTAACTAGGAAGTAGCAAAGTCAGGATTCAAACCCCCAATTTGCTCCTAGGGGCATATTCTTAACAACCAAGAGTGCCTGTCAAAAGGAAAGATAGTTTACACTAGAAGAAATGAAAATAGCAAAATGAGCATGTAGAAAAAAAATCAACCTCACTACTGATTATGAAATACAAATTGAAACAACTATTATAGTACTATGTTATACTTATTTGCAAAATAAAAGAAAAATGGAAACCCAAGGCTGATGATCCTTTAGGGATACATTTATGCATTGCTGGTTGCACAATAAAAATTGGTTCAATCTTTTTAGCAAGCAATTTAGCTACATATAACAAAAGTCTTAAAGCCCATTACAATATCTAATCTAGTAATCTCACACTGAAAATTAATTTAACAATATAATTCAAAAAAGAAAACTAAAAGCTGTGACAAAGATAGAGTAATGCCATTAAAGTACTAAATTGAGAAAGAGAATGAGAAAGGGAAAGAAACTGGAAACAATCTAAATTTAAATTTTCAGTGAGCAACTGGAAACAGTATTACGTAGTTAGTAAGAATAGTAAGTATGCATAAGGACTATACATAAAGGGCATATAAAATGATAGTAAGAGAACAAATACTTATTGTATACATCATGATTATACGTAATGTCAACCAGGGTATCTATCTATGGATTCAGAAGTCAAATCCAAACATGATCTGTTTTGTTTAGGTTTGCAGGTGAAAGAATCATGGGTATTTCTTTAGTAAACTTAAAAGAAAAGAAAAAGAAAAAGGTTTTCATTACTGTATCTCCAAAAGTATAGAAATTCCCTTAAAATATGAGATTTATTCTTTTAAATTTTAATAGAATTCCCAGAATTGATAGTGATTGAGAATTTTAATGATCAAATCAACCCATTCCACTGGAATAGAGTGCTAATATGAAGTAAATGTTTGAAGGAATAAGGAGTTGAGTAGATTTACTAGTATTCCCATGACAGGAACCATAATGATGCAAAAGAAGAAAGCCTGAAGAAATCTGTTGGGACACTGGCTTACCTGCTTCAAGGTTGCTATGAAGCGAGTTATATATTCTACAGTGACTGGATCCTCGACTGTCAGCTTATGACTCTGGCACTCCACACGGGCTCTGTTTATTACTACTCTAGCATCAGCAGTCAGTCCTATAAAAGGAGGCAATGAATTATAAAAAAGAATGGCTTTTTTCTTGTCAAAAGGTTTTTTTTTTAGCAACTATGAAATCTTTCTTGTAATGTCTATTGTTTTTTCTATCAACATATGTCCATTATAAAGAATTTGTAGTTCTTGTAAAATAGAGTATCATTTGTCTGACATTCAACACTTAAACTGATGCATTCTTATTTAATTTATTTTGGTTCAGCCTGGGTTCAATGTGGGGCTTTATCCCACCCAAAACTAAGAGAAAGATGCTTAACTAAGTCACCTGGACACCCCTTAATTTACTTTTTAAAGAAAATGGTTTATTTTTAATTTTTAAAAATTTATTTATTTATTTTAACAGAGAATGAGAGAGAGAGCAGGGGAGGGGCAGAGAGAGAGGGAGACACAGAATCTGAAGCAGGCTCCAGGCTCTGAGCTATCAGCACAGAGCCCTACATGGGGCTTGACACATGAACCGTGAGAGCCGATGTCAGACACTTAATTGACTGAGCCAACCAGGTGCCCCTTTCCTCTAGGATTTTGATGGCTTCCTATCTTACGTTTCATCCATTTTTAGTTTATATTTGCGTATGGTGTAAGAAAGTTCACTCTTCTGCATTTCACTGTCCAGTTTTCCTAATACCATTTGCTAAAGAGACTGTCTTTTATCCATTGGATATTGTTTCTTGCTTTGTCAAAGATTAGTTGGCAATATGTTTGTGAGTCCATTTCTGGATTCTCTATTCTGTTCCATTGATCTATGTGTCTGTTGTTGTGCCAGTACCATACTGTCTTGATGACTACAGCTTTGTTTAGTTTTCATTTTTCAGGATTCCTTTGGCTATTCAGGGTCTTCTCTGGTTCCATACACATTTTAGGATTGTATGTTCTAGCAAATTATGGTGTTATTTTGATAAGGATTGCATTGAATGTGTAGATTGTTTTGAGTAGTATCGACATTTTAGCCATATTTGTTCTTCCAATCCATGAGCATGGAAAGTTTTTCCATTTTTTTTTTTTTTGGTGTCTTCTTCAATTTCTTTCATAAGCTTTCTATAGTTTTCAGTGTATAGATTTTTCACCTCTTTGGTTAGGTTTATTCCTAGATATTTTATAGTTTTTGGTACAGCTGTAAATGGGATCGATTCCTTGATTTCTGTTTCTGTGGTTTCATTATTGGTGTATATAAATGCAACTGATTTTTGTACATTGATCTTATATTCTGTGACTTTGCTGAATTCATGTATCAGTTCTAGCAGTTTTTTGGTGGAGTCTTTTGGGTTTTCCACATAGAGTATCATGTCGTATGCAAAGAGTAAAGGTTTGACTCTTTCTTGCTGATTTGGATGCCTTTTATTTCTTTGTGTTGTCTGACTGCTGAGGCTAGGACTTCCAACACTATGTTGAATAACAGTGGTAAGAGTGGATATCTTTGTTGTTCCTGACCTTAGGGAGAAAGCTCTCAGATTTTCCCCATTGAGGATGATGTCAGCAGTGGATCTTTCATATATGGCGATTATGATCTTGAGGCATGATCCTTCTATCCCTACTTTCTTGAGGGTTTTCATCAAGAAAGGATGCTGTAACTCTCCACAATAGCTAAAACATGGAAAGAGCCTATGTGTCCATCAACAGATGAATGGATCAAGAAGATGTGGTTTATCTATACCATGGAATACTACATGGCAATGAGAAACAATGAAATCTGGCCATGTGTAGCAACATGGATGGACCTTGAGGGTGTTATGCTGAGCGAAATAAGTCAGGCAGAGAAGGACAAATATCATATGTTTGCACGTATAGGAGGATTAGGAGGAACTTGACGGAGGAACAAGGGGGAGAAGAAGGGCGGAAATGGTGGGGGAAAGGGAGAGAGGCAAACCATGAGAGACTCTTGAATGCTGACAAAAACTGAGGACTGATGGATGTGGGGGGGAGGGGGGATGGGCATGGAGGAGGACACTTGTGGGGATGAGCACTGAGTGTTATGTGGAAACTAATTTGACAATAAACTATTTGTAAAAAAAAAAAAAAAGAAAGAAAGGATGCTGTATTTTGTCAAATCCTTTTTCAGCATCTGTTGAGAGGATCATGTGGTTCTTATCCTTTCTTTTATTATTGTGATGCATCTCACTGATTGATTTGTGGATATTGAACCAGCCCTTCATCCCAGGAATATATCCCACTCGATTGTGGTGAATAATTCCTTTAATGTATTATTGGATCTGGTTTGCTAGTATCTTGTTGAGAATTTTTGCTTCCATGTTCATCAGGGAAATTGGTCTATAGTTCTCCTCTTTAGTGAGGTCTTTGTCTGGTTTTGGAATCAAGGTAATGCTGGCCTCATAGAATGAGTTTGGAAGTTTTCCTTCCATTTCTATCTTTTTGGAACAGCTTCAAAAGAACAGATGTTAACTCTTGTTTAAATGTTTGGTAGACTCCCCTGGAAAGCCATCTGGCCCTGGACTCTTATTTGTTGGGAGATTTTTGATTACTGATTCAATTTCTTTACTGGTTATTGGTCGGTTTACATTTTCTGTTTCTTCCTATTTCAGTTTTGGTAGTTTATATGTTTCTAGGAATTTGTCCATTTCTTCCAGATTGCCTAATATGCTGGCCTATAATTGCTCATAATATTCTCTTATTAGTGTTTGGATTTCTGCAGTGTTGGTTGTGATTTCTTCTCTTTCATTTGTGATTTTATTTGGATACTTTCCTTTTTCTTTTAGCTATGGGTTTATCAATTTTGTTAATTCTTTCAAAGAACTAGCCCCTGGTTTCATTGATCTGTTTTAATGTTTGTTTTTTTTTAATATATAACATTGATTTCTGCTCTAATCTCTATTACTTCCCTTCTTCTGCTGGGCTTGGGCTTTACTTGCTATTCTTTTACCAGTTCTTTTAGGTGTAGGGTTAGGTTGTGTATTTGAGACTTTCCCTCTTTCTTTAGGAAGGCCTGGATTGCTATGTACTTCCATCTTATGACCGTCTTTGCTGCATCCCAGAGGTTTGGGGGTGTCATGTTTTCATTTTCATTAGCTTCCATGTACTTTTTAATTTCCTCCTTAATTTCTTGGTTAGCCCACTCATTCTTTAGTGGGATGTTCTTTAATCTCCAGGTATTTGTGGTCTTTCTAAATGTTTTCTTGTGGTTGATTTTGAGTTTCATAGCACTGTGTCCAAAAGAATGCAAGGTATGATCTCAATCTTTCTGTACTTGTTGAGGGCTGATTTGTGACCCAGTACGTGATCTATTCTGGAGAATGTTCCATGTGCACTCGAGAATAACATGTATTCTGCTTTAGGATGAAATGCTCTGAATATATGTTAAGTCCTTCCAGTCCAGTGTGTCATTCAAAGCCATTATCCTTGTTTATTTACTGCTTAGATGATCTGTCTGTTGCTGTAAGTGGGGTGTTGAAGTCCCCTACTATTATGGTACTGTTATCAATGAGTTTCTTTATGTTTGTGACTAATTGATTTATATATTTGGGTGCTTTCATGTTTGGAGCATAATGTTTATAATTGTTAGATCTTGGTGGACAGACCCCTTAATTATGATATAATGTCCTTCTTCATCTCTTGTTACAGTTATTTTAAAATCTAGTTTGTCTGATGTAAGTATGGCTACTCCAGCTTTCTTTTGATGACCATTAGTATGATAGGTGGTTTTCCATCCCCTTACTTTCAATCTGCCAGTGTCTTTGGGTCTAAACTGAGTATCTTGTAAGAATATAGATGGGTCTTGTTTTCTTACCCATTCTGATACCCTATGTCTTTTGATTGGAGTGTTTGACCCAATTGACATTTAGAGTGAGTACTGAAAGATATGAATTTAGTGCCATTGTGTTGCCTATAGTGTTGGGAGTTTCTGGTGATGTTCTCTGGTCCTTTCTAGTCTTTGTTGCTTTTGGTCTTTTTTGTTTTGTTTTGTCTTTTCTCCAAAGAGCCCCCCCTTAAAATTTCTTGCAGGGCTGGTTTAGTGGTCATGAACTCCTTTAGGTTTTGTTTGTGGGAAATTCTTTCTCTCTCCTTCTATTTTGAATGACAGCCTTGCTGGGTAAAGAATTCTTGGCTGCATAGTTTTCTGATTCAGCACATTGAATATATCCTGCCACTCCTTTCTGGCCTGCCAAGTTTCTGTGGATAGGTCTGCTGTGAACCTCACCTGTATTCCCTTATAGGTTAAGGACTTTTTCCCTTGCTGCTTTCATAATTCTTTCCTTGTCTGTGTATTTTTGAATTTGACTATGACATGCCTTAGTTGAGATGATATGTTGGTTTTGGTTGAATCTAATGGGAGTTCTCTGTACATCATGGATTTTGATGTCTATATCCTTCCCAGATTAGTAAAGTTTTCTGCTATAATTTGCTCACACAAGCCAGATTCTGCCCCTTTTTCTCTCTCTTCATCTTTTGGGACACCTATTATTCAGATGTTATTTCTTTTTAATAAGTCACTGAGTTCTCTAAGTCTTGTATTGTGATCTTTTGCCTTTATTTCCCTCTTTTTTCCTGCTTTATTATTCTCCATAATTTGATCGTCTAAAACGCAGATTCATTGCTGCGGTTTGTCCATCCTTGCCATCGTTGCATCCATTTGAGATTGCATCTCGTTTATAGCATTTTCAATTTCATCCTGACTAGATTTTATTTCTTTTATCTCCATAGAAAAGGATTCTATGCTTTTTTCAACTCTAGCTAGTATTCTTATTTTCATGGTTCTAAATTCTAGTTCAGAAATCTTGCTTATATCTGTGTTGAGTAAGCCCCTGGCTGTCATTTTTTCCTATTCTTTCTTTTGGGGTGAATTCCTTCATTTGGCCATTTGGAGGAAGAAAAAAAAATAATAAAAAATTAACATTAAAAACAAAACAAAACATCAAATAAAGGAAGCTAGATCCTAGGTATGCTTTGGTCTGCTTACTGAAAGAAGCTTCATAGAACAGAGAAGAAAGGAAAATAAAAGAAAGAAACATTTAAAAATTAAAAAACTTATATA